GGGTCGTTTTTCGACGGCCCCAGGCCGAAGAGAGCAGCCTCCCGCCTTGATTCTGTTCACGGTGCGAGGGGGGTGCCCTGAGATTCGACGTTGCACACATTGCAACATCGCAAAAATCGCGTCCGGAACCCCCGACCCCCTCTTTCTGCGGGATATTCTTCGAGCTGGATCGATCCGTGAGGGCCCCATGGGCCCGAAACCTAGCGCCAACGCCCGCTGTGAAGACATTGCCACGCCAGGAGCTCAGGGCACGGCGCGAGGGGGCCTGGGGACCCAGACATCTGGTTGCTCCCATTTGTTCGATGCGTGGGCCCCGTAGGTCCAGACCACTTCCCTGGGACCAGTTTTTCGCCTTGCGAGCCGTCTCTTGCCGCTCCCGAGGTCCGGCGAGGGCCCCTATGGAGGCCGAAAGACCTGCCCTTCTCAAGTCCGGCGCCGCTCACACCTCTATTTTTGGAGCGTCGGATCCCTCTGGGGCCCGCCCGGCCCGCCCGTCCGGGCCCCTATGGAGGCCCTGAAGCCGCTGCCCGGCCCGCCGCCCGGCCCCCCGCCGGCGCACCTGCACGCCGCGCGCCCGGCCTCGCTGCCGCCCTCGGGCGCGCCGCCCGCGGCGCAGCCCCGGCGGGCGGCCTCGGACGCCGGGGGCCCGCCGGCCGAGGCCGCCGCCGCGGGCTGCCCGAGCCCGCCGGCCCCGCGGAGGCCTCGCCCGAGGGCGCGCCGGCGGGGCGCGGCGCGGCCGAGGGCGCCCAGGCCATGAGGAGGCCACGGGCAGCCAGACCTCCTCGCGTCGTGGAAGAAGCATCGCGGCGCGGGAGGTCTTGCGCCACGAGTCGGCCCCCCAGGGGGCCTTTGACCGAGCCCCAGGCGCGTCAAGAAGCGGCTCAGGATGCAAAACCGGTCCCGGGGAAAGGGTCCGGTCTGGGGGAAAGGGTCCAGGGGTCGACGTTGCGAAAGCATCCCGACGTCGGGGGTCTGGGTGCGAATCCTACGCCACCACCCCACGAATTCTGACGGGGGAGGTGGGGGTCACCTCGTTCGGGACCTACCCCGAGCGAAGTGAACCCCACCTCCCCCCTGAGAAATCGTGGGGTGGTGGCGTGGGGTCCGCATGTGGCCTCCTAGCCATGGGGCCACCGCGGCCTCAGCAGGACTGCCACGGCGAGGCCGCGGAGACCGCCCGCGGCGGCGGCGGCGCGGAGGCCGCGCCGGACGAGGCCGCAGAGGTCGCCGACGGCGGGGGCGGGCCTGGCCTCGGCATTCGAAGAAGAAAAAACGGCAGAAACATAAACTCTCGGCGCTCCGCGCGGATTTCTCGGATCCGCGCCTGTGCCCCCCTGGCGGCGCCTCGGGCGCCGCCCCTGGCGCGCTCCGCGCGCCAGGGAGGGGGCTCCAGCGCAGATTCAGGAAACCCGCGCGGAGCGCCAAGAGTTGATGTATGCCGTTGTCTCTTCTCCCAGGCATGGGCCTGCGGCCACCACTGGCCCGAAGCTGCTCGGGCGGCAGCTCCCGGGAGCGCGCCGCCTCGGAGGGCGGTGCCGCGCAGGGGCCGGCTGGGCTGGGGCGGCCGCCGGACTCGGGCGAGGCGCAGGCGCCAGCCGCGGACAGGCGCCGAAGGAACCCTGAGATCCTGGCGTTGCACTCCCAGACCTCGCGTTGTGAAAGAGTCACGACGGGAAGTTTTTCTTTATTCTCTTGCACAGCTGTGCTCTAGAGCTCGGACCTCTTTGTTTTCGTGGTTCGTTCGTTCGTGGTTCGTCGTCCTCCCTGGCCCTCTCGGTCCCTGGATCCCACCCTCCCCCGAGCCTCCCAGGATTACCCGCTGGCCTGCCCCTGGCCACCTCGGGCCCTGCACCCCCCCCGGGGCCTCCCAGGATCACCCGCTGGCCTGCCCTGCTTCCCTGGGCCCTGGACCCCTCCTGCCCACGGGCCTCCCAGGGCAGCCCCCCTGGGCCGCCGAAGCCTTTATTTTCGTGGTTCGTTCGTTCGTGGTTCGTCGTCCTCCCTGGCCCTCTCGGGCCCTGGACCCCCCCCTCCCCCGGGCCTCCCAGGATCACCCGCTGGCCTGCCCCTGCTTCCCTGGGCCCTGGACCCCTCCTTCCCACGGCCTCCCAGGGCAGCCCCCCTGGGCCGCCGAAGCCTTTATTTTCGTGGTTCGTTCGTTCGTGGTTCGTCGTCCTCCCTGGCCACCTCGGGCCCTGGACCCCCCCCTCCCCCGAGCCTCCCAGGATCACCCGCTGGCCTGCCCCTGCTTCCCTCAGCCCTCGACCCCTCCTTCCCCCGAGCCTCCCAGGGCAGCCCCCCTGGGCCGCCGAAGCCTTTATTTTCGTGGTTCGTTCGTTCGTGGTTCGTCGTCCTCCCTGGCCCTCTCGGGCCCTGGACCCCCCCCTCCCCCGGGCCTCCCAGGATCACTCGCTGGCCTGCCCCTGCTTCCCTGGGCCCTGGACCCCCCCTGCCCACGGGCCTCCCAGGACAGCCCCCCTGGGCCGCCGAAGCCTTTATTCTCTTGCACAGCTGTGCTCTAGCTTAGAGCTCGGACATCTTTATTTTCGTCGTCGTTCGTTCGTTCGTTCGTCCCCCTGGGCCCTCCCCTTGGGACCCCTTGGGACCCCCTGGGCCTCCCCCCGCTTCTCTGGGCCACCTCCCCGTGGATCCCCTGGGCCTCCCCCTGCTTCTCTGGGCCACCTCCACGTGGAGGCTCTTGGGATTTCTTGGGACCCCTCCGTCCAGGCTTCCCAGAGCCCCTCCGTCCAGGCTTCCCAGTGCAGCCCCCCTGGGCCACGGAACCCTTTATTTTCGTCGTCGTTCGTTCGTTCGTTCGTCCCCCTGAGCCCTCCCCTTGGGACCCCTTGGGACCCCCTGGGCCTCCCCCCGCTTCTCTGGGCCACCTCCCCGTGGAGGCTCTTGAGATTCCTTGGGACCCCCTGGGCCTCCCCCCGCTTCTCTGGGCCACCTCCCCGTGGAGGCTCTTGGGACTTCTTGGGACCCCTCCGTCCAGGCTTCCCAGAGCCCCTCCGTCCAGGCTTCCCAGGGCAGCCCCCCTGGGCCACGGAACCCTTTATTTTCGTCGTCGTTCGTTCGTTCGTTCGTCCCCCTGGGCCCTTCTTGGGACTTCTTGGGACCCCTCCGTCCAGGCTTCCCAGAGCCCCTCCGTCCAGGCTTCCCAGGGCAGCTCCCCTGAGCCTGAGCCCCACCCAGCTCACCTGAGCCACCCACCCTTGGGAGCCTTCCTCCGTACAGCCTTCCTCCGTTCAGGCTTCCCAGTCCTTCGCAGCTCCTTTGTGCAAGAGCCAGGGCACGCGTGCCACTTGTTTTCGGCTCCCCAGGGCCCTTGCCGAGCCCCAGGAGCGTCAAAAAACGACTCGGGGTGGAAAGGTGGGGGGCCCGGGGGTCCTGGCGTGATTTTTTGCGATGTTGCATTTTTTGGGGCAACGTCGGATCTCAGGGAGGCTCAGGGAGGGAAGAATCAAGGGGTCATGACAAAGATGTCGCGGGATCTTGTCGATGCCGATCTTGACAAGGATGACCCGCGAAGAGACGCTGACCAAGATCGACGGTGACCACGATCGGCACGACGTTTCCGCATTCAGCCTTGGTCATGGTTCCCGTTTTCTTCCCCATCCAAGGCGAGCCGCTGGCATTTGGCGCCCTCGGCGCAGCAAGTGTGCCGAAGAAACTGACGAAGACCCGGCGTGGTATAAACACAAGCGGCACGTGTTGGTCTTTGCGTACAGTGGCAAGCCTGTGTACACCAGGTATGGTTCCGAGGACGGTATCTGCAAGACCGCTGGCGCACTCTCGGCGATCGTGTCGAAGATGGCAACGTTCTTTTTCGCGAGCAGCAGCTCGCCCGACTCGTTGAAATACATGGTGGCCGGGGAGCGCATATTTGTCTTCGTGGAAAAAGGGCCGCTTTGGCTGGTGTGCATTTCGAGGTGTGGAGACGTTTATCCGGACGTGGTGAAGATGCTCGACCGTGTCCACTCCCAAATTGTTGCGATTTTGACAAGAGGCATTGATAGGACGCTGATTGCGAACCCCAATTACGACATGAGGAGCTTGCTCGGGGGCACCGACTGCGTCGTCAACAGCATGATCAGATGGTGCACTCAGGACTTCTACGCCCACGTGGACGGCTTCGAGCCGCTCCCGCTGGCCCCGGCGTCCCGTAACGCGGCTGTGGAGGCTCTGCGGTCTGCGAAGGTGCCCAATGTTCTCTGTGGCTTCCTCATGGCCTCGAGCCGCATCCTGGCAGTGGTGACCAACAGGCAGTTCAAGCTGAACGCCGTCGACCTGAGCATGGTCGTGAACATGATCATGTCGTCAGCGTCCCTCCGCTCCGGGGAGTCGTGGACCCCTGTGTGCTTGCAGCACCTGAGCGACAAGGCCTTCGCGTACGCGTACATCTCGTTCATTGAGGGCGCAGATGTCGGAGTGGTGTTCCTCTCCTCCGACAACGTCGGGGAGCAGTTCTACGCGATCTCGAAACAGGCCGCCAACGTCAAGCGCGTCTTGCAGTCGTCTGGATGCCTTGACGCCGTGGTGGAGGCCATGCAACAGTGCCCCATCGATCTCCGCGCAGGGCCTGGCGAGGATGGCGCGCGGGGCCAGGTGCCAGCCAGGCGCACGGCACTGGCGCCAGCGCCCCCAGGCCAGTTCAAGTTACTGGGAGACATTATCCACGCGGCTTATTTCGTGCCCTCTCTGCAGCAGTTCTTCTCCTCGTCCATCGCCCCGCCGTACCGGAGCAGGAGGCGGGCCAAGATGCTTTTCCGATGCTACGGCCGCTGCCGGCTCCTGCTGCGGAATGCCACCAAGCTACCTGCACAGATCTGCATAGCAACGGACCTCCGGGAGAGGTTCACCAAGTCAGCTTGCGCATGTTTGGCGAGCACTCTGCTCGTCATCCTCTGGCAAGGCCTCGGGCTGTGCACGGACAGCCCGTACGTTGAGATAGTCCAGGCTGGCTTCGGCAGACCCCCAGGGTAGTCCAGGGTGGTCACAAAACCCCGATAATTGGTTGCGCAGCGTCCAGGTGGGTGCTGGGGTGGAGAGATGTGGCGTCCAGTGCGAACCCTACCCCGGCTGGTCCAATCGACGAGGGGGTATCGGACACCCCCGCTGGGCTGGTGGGGCTCACTGGTGGCTGCAGGCATCCTTCGAAACACAAGCCCCCGGCTGGTGCTTCGGAAACCTGACCTGCAGGGGCAGGGCCTACATGTGATTGCCTCGAGATGCTGCCCCGAACTTTCGCAGGGGCCTACCGAAGCCAGCACCGCTGGGGTCTGTCAGTGCGCAGGCGGAAGCCTTGCCGTCATCTTCCTCTGTGCGCTGCAGCTTTTTTTGCGCTGCGGGCTCCTCCCGCAGGACCACGAGTGCTTCTACGCGTATCTGGCCGTGGACCACCAGCTGTACCTTGCCGTCCCGCGCGGGATCTCCACGGGCGTCATAGGCCAGCGCCTTTCTTCTTATCCTCAGGTATCTTCTACAGTTATCATTCACCATTCCTTCTCGTCTCCCTTGACAAATGGAGGTAATAACGCCAGCGTGTGGAACGCAAACAGCCGATTCGCATATTAAGATGTGTGGAATCGTATGTGTGGAACCCTTGTGCGTGCAGCTCAATGTGTGCAGAGCCACGTTTGTGGAAACCTATGCGTGGGCCTAGTGTGTTTGCGGAACTCATGTCGACCCCAACGAGTGCACGAACCCAATGTGTGGAATCTTGTGCGTGTGTGTGTGTGAAACCCAATGTACTGAACCCTATGTATGGAGCACTTTGTGTGTGCGGAGTCTCACGTTAGTGGAAACCTGTGTGTGGCTTCTACGTTTGCGGGACCCAATGTGTGCACCACAACGTATGCACGAGCCCAATGCGTGGGATCGTGCGTGTGTGTGTGTGTGTGTGTGTGCGTGTGGGTGCAGAACCCGATGTACGGAACCCCATGTACAGTACAGAGCCCTTTGTGCGTGCGGAACCCTACGTTTGTGGAAACGTGGGCCCTGCGGCTGCAGAACCCTATGTGTGGACCGCGTGCATGAACCCGACATGTGGAGTCTTGCGTGTGCGTGGAGGCCGATGTACGGAATTCTACGTATGGAGCGCAAGTTCGTGTGGTGAATTCTGGTTCCATTTGAGATTGAGCATGCCACGAGCTTCGAGTCGCTGCCCGCGGCCTGCTGGCTGGGGCAGCCCCGGCCGCCGACGCCAGTCGCTCGCTCGGCGCCGTACTCGGGAACCACCGCGCTGGTGAGCCAGCAGGAGGGCAGCACTGCGCCGAAGCTCACCCGCCCCTCCTTGAAGTCCGAACCTGCCTTGCCCTGGCCTTCGCGACCAGGGCAGGCCGCTGCACCGCCCACCGAACGTCTCGCACCGCATCCACGTCGGCGAGCAGCTGGGTCTCACGGGCAAGGGCCTCTCCCGAGGGCCTCCATCCTGACCTTTGCACGGCGGGTCTCGCGCCGCATTTTCCTCAGGCGCCAACACTCGGCGATGCGTGTGGCGGTAGTCTGCCGCACAGCATCGTCCGCGAAACCGTCCGCCTCCCGCTCCACATTGGGAGAGCTTCGGTCCTCCCAACAGCTCCCTCGTCGAGCACGCCATCCCGTAGCTGCGACTCGCCCGTCTCGATGGCGTCGACCTACCTCGGCCACGCTGCCCAACAGTTCCAAAACCTGCGTCTGGTGCTGCTGCACGTCGAAGCGGCATGGCGGAGTACGAGGTGACAGCTCGCGCGGGCGCGATCCTCCTTGGCCTGCCTCTTGCGCGCGCTCGGCACCTGCAGCAGCGCGCAAACTGGCCGCTCAGCAGAGCCTCCTGCATCCCACTGCAGTCGTGGAGCCGGGGGCTCGCGCCCCGCTGCGCAGCGCACATCGTTGCGCGCGTCCTCGGACGGCTCGACGACGGACGGCGGCGCCCACATGTCGAAGAAGAACAAAATGACATAAACATAAACTTTTGGCGCTCCGCGCGGACTTCTTGGATCTTGGGCTGGGGCCCCCCTGGCGCACTCCGCGCGCCAGGGAGGTGGGTCGGACGCAGATCCAAGAAATTCGCGCGGAGCGCCCCCCCCAAAATGTTTGATGGCGTTTGTTCTTCTTCGACACGTGGTCGACCACGAGCGGCGCCCAGACCGCGGCGCCGCAGAAGCACCGGGCGCCGCCGCACGGGCCGGGCGGACGCGCACGCCATCGCCCCGCCGCGCGCCGGCGGGGCGGTGACGCTCGATCGGATGGCCGGGGGGGCATCGCGCCCCCCTTTGGGCCCCGAGCGGGGGCCGAGGTGGGGCCGGAGCCGAAATGGCCACGGCGGGATGCGTTGAACTCCACGCCCGAGGCCTCCTCCCGCGGCTGCCTCTCCGCGGCTGCCTCTTCTTCCGCTGGCCGCATGTGTGTGTGTGTGTGTGCACACATGTTCCTCTTCCTAACTTTTTGCAAGCTGGGGGGGTGGGACCCCCCCCAAAAAAAACCAGACCCCCAGGGTCCGGGGTTTCCGGGCCTCCCGGACACCGTTGCCGAAGGTCCCCCGGCTCGTCCCGGACCTCCCAGGGCGCTTAGCCAGATCTTGCCAGCAGACCCCGGGCGATCAGAGCAGTGGTCAGAGAGGCCGAAGATAGACCCAAGACAGCACAAGAGCGCTCCAAGAAGGACCCAAATCTCTTAGGGCAACGTGCATTTTCAGCATATTCGCTGTTCGGTTCTTAGCAGCGTCCAAAACAGCCAAATATGCTTCCGGTATCGCCCCAAGACGGCCAAAGATACCCCCGAGAGAGCCTCTAGAAGGCCTGGATGGCCCCAAGACTGTCCAAAGGAGCCTCACAGATGGGCCAAAGAAGCCCAACAGGCCCTCACAAGGCCCCCAGGAGAAGCCCAAGAAGGCCATGGGAGGCCCCCGAAAAGGCCATGGGAGGCCACCAGGAGGGCCCACGTAGCCCCCGTACGGTCCCTAGAGGGCCAAAGCTCCCCAACACGGCCCATGATAGCCCCAGGACGGCTCGAGAGGGCCCCGAGCTGGCCCACCAGGGCTCCAACAAGGCCCACACGGCGTGTTCCACCAAATTGACCCGAATCCTGGGGTCGCAACCACATTTCCAGGAAATCGGTTGCGAACCCGAGGCGTTCCCCAATAATTACTTATTTTCGCGTGCCCCGTTGCGACCCGCTGCAACATGACTTTGCGTTGCGCACCGGGGCACCTGAGCCAAGAGCCGGCAAATGTGCGGGCCTACGAAGGCCTTTTGTCGTCATTCACTGCCAGACATTTCTGCAACCGTGTACGTACACATGAACCTCCCTGACTTACGACGGCATCTCTTTCCCTCCTCCTGCTCCTCCTCTGGCTTCTCCTCCTCCTCCTCCTCCTCCTCCTCCTCCTCTTCTTTCTGCCGCTCCACCACTCGTCCTCCCCCACATCCGCTTCCCTCTCTCCTCGCTCCCCGAGATCCCCTCCCTCCTATCTTTCGCCCTCCACCTGGCACTTTTCGGGAGTCCCTGGAGGCCCCCGAAGCGCCAGGGACCTCCAGAATTTTCGAAGACTTCCGAAAACCACCGCAGGGAAGGGGCTAAATGTTCAAGGCCACTAGGGATGGCGCGAACGACCAACATGTGCAAAGCCTCAAAGACCAAGGTGCACGGCGCGAAGCACCAATGCAGTCTTGCGTGTATATATATATATATATATATATATATATATATATATATATATATATATATAAGTGTGTTTGTTGTGTCTGTACATGTACATGTAGATGTTTAGGTACATGCACATGTGTGTACATATATATATATATATATATATATGTGTGTATATATATATATATATCTATATATATATATATGTATATACATGTTCCTCTTTCTATATTTTTATAAGTCCGGGCGGGGGGAAAACCCATCACCCCCCCCAAAAACCGGACTCCCAGGACCTGGGGCTTTGGGGCCCTCCAGACGGGCCTCGAAGCGGCCACCGGGCCTCGCAAGGCGTTTTGCCAAGCCTTCCCAGCACACTTAGGGCGATCAGGGGGGTCATCGGAGACGTCCCCGAGACTCCCAAGACAGCACAAGAGCGCTCCAAGAGTGACCGACGTGACCTCAAGATGGCCCAAGAGGCCTCCAGGACGGCCCCAAAGAGGCCTCCAAGAGCACTCCCAAGAAGGCCCCCGGAGGCAAAAATCATTGGTTTTCTGAGGGTTTTTGGTGAATTTTGGGGTTCTCCTCTTTTCGGCTTCCCGACGCTCCAAGACGGCGGTCTTCTGGGCGTCCGAAGCCGCCTGGGAGGCTCCCAAATCGCCCCACAACCATCCGAAAGGGCTTCCAGGCAGTCCAAGAGAGTCCCAAAACGGCACAACACGGGTCCAAGATGGCCTCAGAGAGCCCCATGGCGGCCCAAGATGGCCCAAAGACACCCTCCGAAGAATTCCAAATCGTGATTCGGTCGTTCAGGGAGACGGCGGTTGGAGGCAGGGTGGCCCGAGGAAGCCCCCGGAGGCCCCCAGAATACGCCCAGGAGGCCTCCAGAAGGCCTTAAGAAAGCCCGAAACAACTTTTGTGAGGCCCCTAGAGGCTCTCCAAGGAGGAGCTTCCGCAAAAAAGAGCTGAGGAGGATGTGGAGAATGCGCAGGGTATGGCGAAAATAAGGAACAATAAGCATGGAGGAAGGATAACGAATAACATCATTATAGCGGCGATGCCGGAAAAGGCAACCAGGAGTTATCGCTAAATTGTCGGCTTGACTTCCTGCCATTCCGCCTGCAAACCAAAGTTCAAGGACCAAGGTGCATGGCGCGAAGCGCCACTGCAGTCTTGGATATATTATATATATATATATATATATATATATATATATATATATGTATATATACATATACACCTATATATATACATACGTGTGTATGTATCTGTATATGTAAATGTAGGTGTACATGTAAACGTTGTATATGTATATGTATATGTGATATAAACAAATAGGCTGGGCCCCCCTCCCTGGGCGTCCTCCCCTTCGATCACATCTGGATTGCGCTCACGGTGCCGCGTTCCCGGGCCCCCGCATAGGCCCCAAAACGCTTCAGAAGAGCCGCAGACGCCCACGAGCAGCCGCCAGAATCTAAAAGGACGATCCACGACGCTCCCAAGCAACCCGAGATAGCCTTCGGGCGGCTCTCCAGGCTCCAAGGAGGCCTCATAGAGACCTCAAGAGAGCTCCGAGAGACATCCCGAGAGTGCCCATAGAACCTAAAATCGTTGACTTTCATTTTTTTTTTTTTTTTTTTTTTTTTTTTTTTAAGTTTTCAGCCTTCTCACCATTTCACGCTTCCAACGCTCCAGGACGGCCGAAGAGGCCTCCCAGACCGCCCAAGACGGTCCCAAGACGGACCAAGAAGGCCCCAAGACTGCCGAAGAGGTGCTCAGGACAGACCACCCCAGAACAGGCCCAAGATGTGCCTAAGAGCGGGAGTAGGAGGCCTCCAGAGACCTCCGAGAGGACTCCGGGACCCCCCAGAGGCCCCCAACACACCCAGACCCTCGAGAGGGCCCAAGCAAGCCCTGACGAGGCCCCCCAAACAGCCCAAGAGAGCTTCCAGAGCCGTCCTGAGAAATCCCGAAGAAAGTAAAATCGTTGATTTCCAGCAGTTATTGTCGACGTTTTTCGCCTTCTCACGCTTTCCCGCTTCCAACGTTCCAAGACCGAGGAATTTGAAAAAAGGGAATTCCAGAGATTCCTTTTTTTCAAGTTGGGACTTCTACTCCCTACCCTCTTCCTCGAGCCCCATCAAGACTTCGGGATCACATGCAAAAATGTTTCGGCAATGCTGTTGAACTCTCTGACGCTGCCTTGGCACTCTCTTGGATCGTCTTCGTGTCCTCTTGGCTGCCCCTGAAACCATTGTAGAAATCGAGATCCCATGATCCCATGAGTTGAAACAGTGGAATGTTAGAATTCCTTTATTTTAAATTCACCCCCTGCTTGCTTTTGCACGAAGACCCTGAGAGGCATCCCAACAGACCGTGGCCTGCATCCAGAAAACGTCTAACCCACAGCCCAGGCACCACAACTTAAAACATGGAAATCACTCAATTCCGTTTTTTGTTCCAAGTTCGTCCCTTGTCTATTCTTGCACAACAGACCACAATTAAGGCCCCAGATCAGAACCCAGGAAGCCTTCGAGGGCCCCAAATCGTTGAATACCTAACGGCAATGAATGGTTCTTGCGTTTCCGTAGTTCCCCTTCAATGCGATTCCAAGGCTTGCGCAGGGTCACCAAGAGAGCCCCTGAATACAAGACACGGCAAAGATGATATTCCATGCGTTAGCCCATCAAGGATAGGTAGAACTTGAGCGCGCGCGAAGCGCACGCGATGGTTCTAGTATGTATATGTGTATGTGTATGTGTATGTATATGTAAATGTAAGTGTATACGTGTATATATATATATATGTAGGCATACATGCATATGTATATGTACATGTATATGTACATGTAGATGTATATGTAGATGCCTATGTACATGCATCTTTATATGGAGATGTGTGTATATACATATGTATACACATGTATGAACATATCCTTTTGAAGAGCATGTATCATCTAGAGGCACATTCTAGGCTCACGCCTCTAGGGGCAAGCGTTCTCCCTCTCCAGAATCGCATGCGCACCGCTCTAGAGGTCCTAGAAGCCCCTCTAGAGGCACCTCTAGAGACGCCTCTAGAGCCCTTTAGAGCCTCCAACGAATGCGCTCCCATTCGCGCGCTCCACCTGCCCCCACGAGCTCACCCACAGACGACGCATCCCAGAGAGCGGACGTGCCGTCAACTCCCGCCCTGCCTCTTCTCTGCGATGTCGGACGGTCCGCATACCTCCACCACTCCATCCAACAACATATTCAAAGCAGCCTACACAGGGAATCAAGCAACGTGAGAAAATGAACAGGCCTGGGAGAAACTGGGTGGTTTCCGCGACCAGCACGGCTCGAGCATGTCAGCGCTGGTTTCTTTGTCCATGTGATCATGGTCGTCGTCGCCGCCGCCGCCGCCGTTGCCGTCGTCGTCGTCGTCGTCGCCGCCGCTGCCTTGGTGGTGGTCGTCGTCGTCGTCGTCGTCCTGGTCCTCGTCCTCGTCCTCGTCCTGGTCCTCGTCCTCGTCCTCGTCCTCGTCCTCATCCTCGTCGTCTCTGTATCTCTATTTCTTTCTTTATCTCTCTCTCTCTCTCTCTTTCTTTTCCGATTCCTCTCTCTTTTGATCTCTGTGCTTTCACCATGAGTTCCTATACACGCAGGCAACTGATCTGGTCGGACTCCTGGTCCGTGGCTAGGGCAGCCGCCAATGGGCCCCGGGAGGCTTCCGCAGGCTTCGAAAGCCCCCCACGACGGCCCAATTGGCCCTAAGATTGTTCGAGATGTGCCCAAGATGGCCCACAGAGAGGCAAAGAGGCCCCCTGGAGACCCTTAGAAAGTTCCGAGAAGCATCCCAAAAAGGGCCACCAGAAGCAAACGTCGCAAATCTCCGGTTTTTTTTTTCTAGGTTTTGACGGTTTTCGTTGTTTCGGCCTGTCAGCGCTCCTCGACGGCCCAAAGGCCCCCAAGACCACCCCGAGGAGGCACAAGAGGCCCCTAAGACGGCCCCAGGACGGCCCAAGATGGTCTCAAGACGGCCTAAGAGGCGCCAAAGACAACCGATGAGGGCCCAATGATGGCCTCAAACGGCCCCTTGCCCGAGCAATTTCTCAGCGCCCCCTTTCGCACGCTGGAACCTTCGCCCCCACGAGAGAGCCATCTAACGAACCAGGGGTTCGACGGCGCAGCGTGGCAAACCGTAGAACACTTGTGTATATACATGCATGCATACAAGCACACATCCATACATACATACATACATACATACATGCATGCATGCATGCATGTATGCATACATACATACACACTTACATACATACATACATACATACATACATACATACATACATACATACATACATACATACATACATACATACATGCATACATACATACATACATGCATACATACATATATACATACATACATACATACATACATACATACATACATACATACGCACATGCGTGCATATATGCATACATACATGCATGCATGCACACATACATGCATACATGCACACACATGTACATATCGATGTGTATATACATATACATATACACGTACATACACATATACGTATGCATACGCATATACATATACATCAACATATATACATATGTACATACACGCATACATGCATGTACACATATATACATGCATACAATATGTGCACACATACATGCATGCATGGATGCACACATACACGCATACGTGTGTATATACACATACTCATGCATGCAAACATACAAACGTACGTACATGCACACACAATTGCACCCACTCATGCAGACAAACAACCATACATGCATACGTACGTACGCACGTACATACGTGCATACATATATACATACATACAAACATGTATACACATACATACATACATGCACGCATACATGCAATCATACATCGATATACATACATACATGCATGCATGCACGCATACATTCAGTCATTCATATATATATATACATATGTACACATGCATACATACACACATGCATACATATATACATGCACACATACATGCATACATGCATACAAATATATATATATATATATATATATATATATATACATGCATACATGCATGCATACATACATACACAACTATCCAGAACGGCCCGAGGGCTGGCCGAATGCGATGGACGACGGCCCTCGCTGCTAACAAAAAAAGTGTTGAGCTCCGCGCGTGGAGTCCTGCGCGCGTGGAGGCCAACGTGCGCAGCTCACCGCGCAGCCCACCGCGCAACCCACCGAGAACCTCCCCGCGCAACCCACCGGAGGAGGAAAAGGTACCCAGACCTCTACCCTTCGCCCGGTGTTCCCTTTCTGGGCCTCTTGGGAGGCCCTCGTCACCACCGCTGGATTTGCCTCGAAATTTCTTGTCAGAGCGCACCCCGAGAGAGGTCTGGGCTGGGGAGTAGCGGCATCGGTACCTTTTGAACTCCCCAACCGAGAACCTCCCCCGCGCAATCCACTGCGCAGCCCACCGCACAGCCCACCGCGCGCCCCGGCCGGCAGCGGAGTGGTCCGAGACTGCTGCGCCGCGGGGCGCCCGCCCCCCCAGGCGCGGTGCGGCCGTCCGTCGGCGTGTTGCCCTCGGCACTGCTCACACGTGGGCCTTCTTTGTTCGGCGAGGCCAGCGCCAGAAGATCTAGACCATCGTGTGGCATCTTGGAGCATGTTGGAGCACGTCGGGAGAAAACACGGGCGAAATCAAACAGTGCACGGGGAAGGACGTCCGAGTGATAGCAAAGGTTAGTTGTCCTCCACCTTCCTGTCTCCTCCCGGGGTCCACATCGATTCGATCGATCCGACTTGGTTCGACATCGGCTTCGGCCGGCCCGATCCGATTCGATTCTGGTACTCCGACGATCTGGTGCGGCCCGTTGCTTGCACGGCGCTGCTGGGCATCCTGGCGCAGCCGATCCGAGTCGATGCCAACCCAGCACCGATGCGGCCCGACGCGGCGCAGGTCCGTACTCGATCCGGTGTTTCCCGGCTTTGGTGCTGACTGATCCTGCCCTCTCTGCCCCATCTTCCGAGGCGGGAATGTGTACATGAACACCGCTTGGAGGATCAATTTTCGGGGACCTCGGCAGGTGGTGGATGTGGACATATTCGGGCCCCCAGGGGCCAAAACATATCCATATCCACCGCCCGCTGGGCCGCTGGGGCACCAGGACATCGGTTCCCAGGCGGTGGATATAGATAAATCCCCGCCTCGCACATCTGCAGGCCAGTTCTACCAGTGGATGAAGAGCCAGGAGGCCCACATTTTCCTCGGCCAGATCCCGTGCTGGTGAGCGCGGAACGCGCGGGTTGCGGCCGCGGGGCGCGGCCACGTGCTGCGGAGCCGAGAGCCGCGGCGTCGGCGGGGGAGGAGGAAAAGGCTTGCCCCCCGGAGGAGGAGGAGGAGGAGGAGGAGGAGGAGGAGGAGGAGGAGGAGGAGGAGGAGGAGGAGGAGGAGGAGGAGGAGGAGGAGGAGGAGGGAGGAGGAGGAGGAGGAGGAGGAGGAGGAGGAGGAGGAGGGAGGAGGAGGAGGAGGAGGAGGAGGAGGAGGAGGAGAGGAGGAGGAGGAGGAGGAGGAGGGGGAGGAGGAGGAGGAGGAGGAGGAGGAGGAGGAGGAGGAGGAGGAGGAGGAGGAGGAGGACGAAAAGACTTGCCCCCAGGGTCAGGAGAGTAGTCGGGGCGCTCCAGAGAAGGCCTCGCCTTTGCGGATCGAAGGCCTTGGTTGGCATCGCTTCCCTGGACGAAGGCGGCGGACGCTGGCGGAAATAGCACAGGGCCCCACCGCCAGAATATGCCCATATCCACTGCCGCGGGGTCGTGGCCTGGGACCTCAAGGAGTGGTGGATGTGGATGTCCGCGCGCCTGCGTGGGCGGGCAGATGTCCATATCTCCTGCTCCCCGAGACCCCAGGGCGGTCGGCTGGCGAAAGGCTGGGCGGAAGTAAGACATTGATGAGCAAGCATTCCACCACAACTGCCACATGTAGGAGGGGGGGGGGAGGGAGGAGGAGGGAGGAGGAGGAGGTCCTCCTCCTCCTCCTCCTCCTCCTCCTCATCATCATTTTCTCCTCCTTTTCTCCTCCTCCCTGCCCCCTACTCACTATGGCAACAGTTGTGGGCTCAGGGTCTCCGAAGACCGACCATCTGGCGATGCGCACGAGGGGCTGGCGCGAGGAAGCGGTGCCTCTCAAGGAGGCAGGGGGGGCTTCTTGAACGGCATGGGCCGTCGTGGAAGCCGTCCTGGCTGCCATCCTGGCTTCCGGGGAGGCTTCTTGTCAAGAAGGACCGTGGTTTTTCAGACCCTCCCGCCTCCTTAGACAGCCCCTCCTCGTGTCGGCCCTTGTTCGCGTCGTCCAGGCATCGGTGATTCTGGGACACGTTACCGTCCTGATTCGCCATCGACGTACCCCCAAGCCGCGCCTGAGGCTGCTCCATGGCCATGCTGGCTCAAACCGTTTTAGCTTCAAGTGATCGGCTCGAGAGGCAGGCGTATAAAAGTAACTGGTGGTTCACATGGCCACTGGCGGCAGCCGCTAGGCTTAGAAAGATGAGCACCGGGCCCCGTTCAACACCCTGATGCTCCGCAACTTGCCCCGAGCGTGCACTCATCAGCAGCTCCTGAAGGAGATCCAGGATCCAGGCCTCTTGGGGGCCTCTTCGGGCTTCCTGGGGACCTCGTGTGGGCCTCTTGGGGCCTCTTGGAAACCTCTTGGGGCCTCCTGGGAGCCTCTCGGGGCCGAGGGCTCGAAATGTCCGTTCGGGTCCCCCGTCTGGGCACGCTTTCGGAGCCGTCTTGAAGAACAGGGACCAAAAAGACGATTCTACCAGACGAGGCCTACCAGGGCGATGGTTGATCATCACGACGATGAGACTGAATCCAGGCACGCAGACTGCGAGGTGTGCGCACGCTGCCGCCACAGCTGCAACGGTGGTGGAAGAACGTTTCGTGGCTGGCACGTGTGAGGTGTGTGTGTGTGTCCGCCAGAAGGAGGGAGGAGGGAGGAGGGAGGAGGGAGGAGGAGGAGGGAGGAGGGAGGAGGGAGGGGGAGGAGGGAGGAGGAGGAGGAGGAGGAGGAGGAGGAGGAGGAGGAGGAGGGGAGGAGGAGGAGGAGGAGGAGGAGGAGGAGGAGGAGGGAGGAGGAGGAGGAGGAGGAGGAGGAGGAGGAGGGAGGAGGAGGAGGAGGAGGTTGAGGAGGAGGAGGAGGAGGAGGAGGAGGAGGAGGAGGAGGAGGAGGAGGAGGAGGAGGAGGAGGAGGAGGAGGAGGAGGAGGAGGAGGAGGAGAGAGGAGGGGGAGGGGGAGGGGGAGGGGAGGGAGGAGGAGGAGGAGGAGGAGGAGGAGGGGAGGGAGGAGGAGGAGGAGGAGGAGGAGGAGGAGGAGGAGGGAGAGGAGGAGGTGGAGGAGGAGGAGGAGGAGGAGGAGGAGGAGGGGAGGGGGAGGGAGGAGGAGGAGGAGGAGGAGGGAAGAGGAGGAGGAGGAGGAGGAGGAGGAGGAGGAGAGGAGGAGGAGGAGGAGAGGAGGAGGAGGAGGAGGAGGAGGAGGAGGAGGAGGAAGAGGAGGAGGAGGAGGTCGGTCGGTCGGTCTATCGCCATATGATCCAGATGCTCACTTACCTTGCACAGCGTGGGATCGGCGTGCGCGAGTGATGCACTATGCATCCCGCGTTGTCAAAACGTTGGGAGTCTCCCCCAGGCACAATTACGGGGACACCATGAGCCACAACATGTCAACAGACTGTGGGCAGGAAGAAAAAGAAAAAGGAAAGAGATGGAGGGGCGGGGGGCGGTGCCTGGTCCATCGCGTCCGTGTCGCACGGTCGCTCTCGGACGGACACTACCCATCCGCGGCTCCCTCATGCTCCCTCCCGCCCGCACCCCCCAGGGAGCAGGACGACGAAGGAGAGGGAAAGGCGGGGGGCCACCCCACGAGAGGAGCGCGAGAGGCCACGGAGCCAGAAGAAGGCGAGGCAGGGGGGGGAGGAGACGACGACAGAGAAGAGAGAGACAGCAGCGCAGAGAGCAGCGAGGGGGGGGTGCGGACAACAAGATAATTGCAAAAAGAGAAACACAAAGAGGCCAGCCCTGGCCTCTAAGAAACTCATCCCTATCCAGACGCCCTCCTGCGCCGCTTCCTCGGAGCGTTGCAGCTGTCTGGTGGGGCCCACTTACCTGTAAATCGAACATTCGTTCTCTCAGCTATACTCATATTTGGCCTAGGACTCTGTGCACTTCTACTCACTTCTTCTTGCCCCTGAGCAGCCTCTCCAGTGACCCTTGAATGCGGCGCTCTCCTGTGTTCCTCGGTGGGGGGCCTGGCTTCGGTACACTGCCCATCGCGATGTACAAGCGGGTGAGGATAGCATTCATTGGCTGCATCATTCCATTGATCTGGACCCATGCACTGATCAGGTATGTGTGTCGTACTTGGGCCGGTTGGCCTTCGTGCTGGTAGGCTGACTTCACGCGATAGTATTTCACGTATTCGCATGCTATTGCTAAAGGCTCTTGTTTTAGCCGCTGCACGAAGTCTTTCAGGAAATCCATACACTGTTTGAGCTCTGCCACACTGTTCAACTGGACATTGGTCGCCAGAGCCTCGAGCACCGCTATCCCTACTGCCAATGACGGGGGACCGTGTACGTGATCTGGCTTGCCCTCCACCATCTGTCGGTACTGCTGCCCTGCTGCTACTGCTACTGCATTGATACTGTGATCCTGGGGCATGAGGTGGGTCGAGAGGAGCGCGCCCTCGAGCCCTCGAATCCGCTGGGCATGATTCAGGGATGCTTTCATGACCTCCACCGCCGTTTCGCCATCGCTCTCGTCGTCCTGGTTCGCTGAGTCCCCCCCGACTGCCACCCTCCTGAACTTGGTCCCCTCCTTGCCCTTGCCTCCGCCTTTGCCATCTCCGAATGAGCTCTTCTTGGAGGTGCGTGACTTGTCGTCCACCTCCATCGCTGCCTGGGCCTTCTCGGCCGTGATCGGGGGTAGGGCCCAGGTCGCCATGGGTAGTCTCTGGGGCTGGTAGTGAAATATATGCTTCAGCCGATAGTTGCACGTGAGTCCGTATATGCACCTGCAGAGCCGAAAGGCTCGGGAAGTCGTCACCACAAGCTGGACATACATAGCATGTTGGTTCCTCGACTTTGTGAACGAAGTGGTGTCGGTCCGCGTGGCACACCCGCTTCAAAAATAGGTTCCTGACATGCTGTCGTGCGACGGCACGGTTACTAAAAGTCGTCATACACCACGGGCACTGATTCGTAACAGTCAACACTTGGCATATAGCTCTGTGTCCGTGCGTCCCTCCCTCCGTAAACCTCATATGAGCATACCATCCTCGCTGTTCGTGGAACTGCAGTCCGCACTCGCTCCCGTCCTCATTGAGTTCCCGACACACCCACACTGCTGGTTCTGCTGCTGGAGGAGGAGGGACAGGAGGGTCGTGCTCTGAGGGTTCTAATGTGGGTTCAGTGCTCCAGAAGGCCTTCCGAAGATGTGAGAAATCAAGCTTCTCAAAATGACTGGCATACTCTCGAGTGAAGACCTTCAGCACCTTGCCCCCCAACTCCTGAAGAAGCTCCTCTCCTCCTTTGACAGACCCTATGGAATTCAGATCACCCACCACCTGGCTAGCCCAGGGATTACCGCGGTAGTCTCCATCTTCTGTCATCATAAGTCGGTGGTCCAGGATCGTCGGTTGTTCCTCAAACCTAAACTGGCCAAAAACTGCCGCAAGCAATTGTCGATTATCCTGGGGATTCGTCGCAACCGATTGCCACCACTGGAGCCTGCGAATGCGGAGTTCTAAAAAGGTTGGTACCATTCTCAATGCTTTCCAGACTGCACGCGAAGGCATACTCGTATGCTTGACGGTCCCATCGGGCTGTGGTGTTTTTAAGGTCCCCTCCCCGTGCATCAAGGTACGCCCCCACTTCACCAAAAGAGCATCGATCGGTTCACAGTCCTTTTTTGAAACACAGTAAGCCTCCATCCCAGGAGGAGGAGGAGGAGGGGGGGGGAGGAGGAGGCGGAGGCGGAGGAGGGGGAGGAGGAGGAGGAGGAGGAGGAGGAGGAGGAGGAGGAGGAGGAGGAGGAGGAGGAGAGGAGGAGGAGGAGGAGGAGGAGGAGGGAGGAGGAGGGGGGGGGGAGGGAGGAGGAGGAGGAGGAGGAGGAGGGGAGGGGAGGGAGGAGGAGGAGGAGGAGGAGGAGGAGGAGGAGGAGGAGGAAGAAGAGGAGGAGGTTGAGAGGAGGAGGAGGAGGAGGAGGAGGAGGAGGAGGAGAGGAGGAGGAGGAGGAGGAGGGAGGGGGAGGGGGAGGGAGGAGGGAGGAGGGAGGATGAGGGGGGAGGAGGAAGGAGGAGGAGGAGGAGGAGGAGGAGG